CACTGTAGAAACCCTAAAAAAGTCATTAGGAAAATGACTTTGTTATCTACTGAGGGAGTTTTAAATGAGTAAGTGAACATCCAAATGACTAGTGTCTTGAAGGTATCAGGTGCTCAAAATATGTGTGCGAATATACAGTGAGATTTGGTAGGTTGAAAGAGTACCAGTAAATTGGTTTAAAAAGCAAGAATAGGAACAGGGATTATAATCTTAAGGGAATGCCAACCTATCTGTGAAGATAGGTACAGAATAGTAACTGAACTGTGCTGATTACAAAATAGAGTATCTGCAAGATAAGTTAAATGTCCCATTTTCTTCCCAAATGAAACACTGAGAGGAAGTCCCCTGTTAACAGAACCACAGGGGCTGCCGTTAAGGGAGTTTTAGCACTGACAGAACACTGTATTTCAACCTGTGACTAAGAGGTGTCCGATTTGCCTTTCTAAAACTGCATCTCCAGTGGCTGGGACGGGCGTGTTTACAGTGAAGCTGATTCGTGTTGGCTGCACTACACCGAGAGGGGGCCTGCTCACGACATGCAAATACTCTTTGTGCCTTACATTTTCTTTGTGTGCTAAAGAGCTGAGCAGATCCTAGATCACCGATAAATAACAGTCCAAGCATTAGACTTCAAACAGGTCATCAGTCCATTAAATAATTTACATAGTCATAGTTCAATTCAGTCTTTTCATCAAATTGCTTTCTTATCTCACCTTTGCCCTTCAAAGGGAAACATAAACAACACAGACTTCTACAGTTAAAAATGAAAGAAACAATAAAAAAGGTAAAGGAAGGAAGGAGATTCCAGAATCCGTTGTGTGGGATGTCGGGCCTTTTAGCCTTACTTTTGGGAGAAAAAAAAAAAGGAATGCTCACAAGCATCTGAGACAAATCATTCCGGATGTAATGGCACAATAACGCTTGGGATGGGTGAGAACATTCAGCTATTTTTAGAGCAATTTCTATATGTCATATGTCACATTTGGTTCCTAGATTTTAGTCAAGTATTAGTATTTCTTTTTGCCGAGTATGATATACAAAAAGATGAGAACAGTAGATGTGCCCTAAAGATATGAAAATATAATATATAAAACAAAACCATTATAAATTACATAGATTTTCAGTATAAAATTGTTTTTTTTTTCCATTTAGAATAAATACCGTCCAAGTTTACAGGTCATCAAAGTGAATTAAATATGCACACATATCTGAATCATTTTCAGAATTTCAAGAAAAAAAGTTGTTAGAGATATGACTCAGAAACCAGAAGCTGTTTGATATTGAGAATGACTACATAAGACCCAAAGGACATGGCTTGGGATTTAGTGTTAAGCTTTTAAAACTGCCCAAATGAGCCTGAGATGCATGCGCGCACACAAACACACACACCTACAGCCATACTTCTATGCATTTCTATGAAGCTGAACAGTTTATCTTTGAAAAATCAGCTGAAAGTCACGAGGTCTTTCTGCATTTTATATTCTAGAGGAGAGCCTTTCTCATTTCATAAAGAAGCTGTAAGATGGGACAGGAAGAGCACAGAATTTCTGGAAGGAGAAATCTCCATTGTAAGCCAACCTCCTTTTAGGTTGGCTATTATTATATCAAGAGCTTTTTGATGCCTCAGAAGGTAAAAGTTTGGAAAATCTATATAATAATCTCCCCAGTCTTAAGAAGCTAAAACCAATCTGGAACATTCTTTGGTCTACACATTTCTGCTCCCGCTTCATAAAAAATCTGCTGATTTTACATTTTTAAATCCTAATCAATGTCTAGATAGAACTGATGCCTTCTCCTGTAATTTCCATGTGGAAATCTGCACATGGGTCTGGGTGGAATGAGAACTGAACAGAATGGGGAAAAGTTTACACACTATCACAAAATGAGCTTAAATCTCTGTTACTGTTTTGGGCAAACAGATCCATACTAAGAATTTGCTGACCTCCACAGCAACTGGACAATGTTTATATTCTGAGAGTTGGAGGTAAAGCTGTTCCGCAACCCAAATACATAAAATCCTAGCCCAGAGAGCCCACTGGGAGTCATGGTTACTCCTGACTGCTGGACTAGTAGTTGCTTTCCGTGACGACCCAAGACACTTCTAACTAGATGCCAGCAGTTCCTTCCTGGCTAAGTGATGTCTGACCAAACTCCAGGTCTTGTCAGATTGCCTTCCACACGAATTATCTATGAATGAAGAAGCCCAGCAGGCCACCCCTAAAGCCAAACCCACTGCCCTCAGGCTGCAGAGCTAGACACATTCATTGTAAAATCGGAACCTCAAAAGCAACCGATCTCCTGTATCCATTTTTGCTCCCAATGTTGTTTGTCTCTTGCAGTGGGGACCATGCCATCTTGGGAGATTACAAACTTTCTAGAAAGCAATAAATGTCTGAGCTAGAAGGGATCCTGTGACTCATCAGGCACAACCCCCATATTCTGCAGGTGAAAAAGATGAAACCCTGGAGAGGGAAAAGGAGTTGTCCAAGGTCACTTATCCAGATAGTGACAGAGTGAGGACTACACATCTGGGTCTGCTCTCTCTCTTTACACCAACGTGGCCCGTGTAACCTCCAATGTCATGATCCCATCCACTTGATGTGGCCACGACCCTTATGACAACTTTAAGGTTCTAAGTGAAAATGAAATACCACTCATTCTCACCACGATTAAATTTCAACTACAGAAGTGGTCCTAATGATGTTTTGGGAGAGAAGATCCACAACTTGCCTAAAATGCTATGATTATTTGAAATTGATCCTCTTTGAGTAAGTCATGCAGCATAAACAACGTGAGCTGAACCCAGAGAGAAAAGTGAAAATCTGTTAAGTAACTGGAAAGAGAGCAAGCATGATGATATTGGTTTGGTTCTGTGAGAGTGAGACCATTTAGATGGTACTCAGAGTCCATCTAGTCTGCCCCCTCTAACAGATAAGGAAACTGAGACCCAGACCTGCCCAAAGCCAGGCAGCTGATTACTGGCACAGTCAGGTAAAGTATTGGCCTTTGCATAGACTGACTTTTTCTTCTTTCCATAACATCATTCAGTCTCGCGTATAACTGCTTTCTTGTGAGACTAAAAAATAATTCCACAATCTGGCATGAAATTTGATGGCACAGCTCCCTAGGTCATTGTTCTAACCTTTCACTCTCCCCTTCAAGACCAACGAGTTAGCTCTGTGGTTTACAAAAGTGGACCTGGTTACACGGCTTCCCAGATCTTTCTTTTGCTGCCCCAAATCCAGTGTTTGAGTCACCCAACAGCGTATGTCCCTACAAGCCCTTCTGGGAAGCCAATACTCTACAACCTGCAGGGATTCATCAAATGCCTCTGTCTTTGGAAGCAATATATTTTCCAGATAAAGAATCAGTTTTTGTTTGTAGGATGATGTTACTTAACCATAAAAAGAGCAGTTTTCACGGGTAATATGGGTATATTCAACCTTTTACAATCTCCCTCCATACTTCAGTTGAGCTCACCAAAAGGCTCTCAGAATTGGACAGGTAAACACATTTTTATTTGGCTCTTAAAGTGCTATTCCTGGGCAAAGGTTTTTCTCAGTTTCACAATAGCAGCTTCATTGGAAAAAAAAAAAAAAGTAATGTATGAAAATAGGCTTGGGAAGTGACAAAAATAATGAGCGTAGTAACTACTCTGGAACATTACAACTGACTTGTAGATATCAGCCCTGGTACTAGTGACTGATACCAAAGCCTCTGAGGTACATGTTCGAGGGGAAAATAAGGACAAAGTGGCTAAGAGGACTAAACCGGAAAGAGCAATTAGTATTACTATAACAACAGCAACTACTCCATTTTAAAGGAACAGTGACAGGAATAAAAACTGAGAGGAAAGTGCAACAAACCCATGTACGTGCATTTGCTATCATAGCAGACCTATATATATATATGTTTTTTTTTTTTTTAAGGAAAAGCAATGCAGTGTGCATTGGAGAGGGCTCTTGACCTCAGAATATCTTACAGTAATATTCTCTTTGCCAAAAGGGCATCACCCATTAAGGTATTTGGCAGAGAAGAGCCTCTAAAATTCGTATCACGTGGACAGACGCCTTCTGTCCAGTATTATCAATTCTGCACCCTGATGCTTCTCACATCCTTTTCTACTGAGGAAATTCCAGTCACATAATAAACTGCACTCAGGTGTTTCCCCTTTGAAAATGGCATCACTCCTACCTAAGGGATGAGAGTCTCCTGGTAAGGCTTAGCGGCAAGTGCGTACTACATCTGCACTACGAGGAGCAGCCCCTGATTTTCTTGATATGCATAGCTTTTCATAGTTGATATTAGACATGGCTTTCATAAATAATGCAGGTGTTTCTGTCATGCCCCACCGCTGGCTCTGTAGTTTCCAGGTGAGCTGGTGGCAGGACTCTATCCAATACCTCAACAGGCGTTGGCTCTTCAGATGTTAGCTCTGTGGATGTTATATCTGTAGAAGGCTCTGCAGTTTCTGGGGAATGTTCAGCGGACGGTTCTGTCTCCTCTTCATCTTTGACTTCAAACTGTACACCCTCTGGGTCATTCCCGTGATCTTTTTTGGACTGTGAGTGCACAGACACCTTGATGGCAATTTGCTGGGGCTGCTCGTGCAGCGATGAGGCATCCGAGTCTGCGGTGGGTGAGTCACTTCTCTTCAGGGAGTTTGGGATTGTGTAAACCTCATCCCTGTCTGAGGCCTCCTGGCCTTCTGGAGTATGCCGCACAAAATTCTGCCCCTGCTCCTCCAGCCCAACCACTTCCATGATTTCCTCCATGATAGTCCTACAGTTCATAATGAGGGGAGGCAGAGGCACACTCCTGGCAAGCTCTTCGATATAGCGGGCAAACTCCATGGTTTTGAACTGGGTGACTTTGGCAAGCTCTAGAGTTTTGGCTGAGGTGATGATGGGGATCCGCTTGGCAATCTCAAATGCCTTTTGCAGCTTCTCTGCGCCTTCTGTCCTAAAGAACTCGTTGATGGCTTTCTCGGTCTTCTTCAGGTGGCTGCTCATCATGCACAGGCGGGTGATGTTGAGGATCATGACGACGGTGAAGGCCACAAGGCAGACGACCATGTAGTAGACGCCCATGTCTCCAGAGGTAAAGATGACTCTCAGGGTCACCGTGTTGTTCACAGTGCCATGGATGTTAGAAGCAACACATGTGTATTTACCTCGGTCTGAAAAAGACACCTTGGTGATGTTCAGGAGGCCGCTGTCGTGCATCTGCCATTTTCCTGTTGGAAGGAAGAGTGGAGAATTCAACCAAGGACATATGGGTCCCATCAAAGTGTCTACAAACTCTCACGTTACTAAAAACATCTCTTATTACTACAACTACTGCTTCTGTTACTACGAATGATAATGACAATGGACATTTACTGTGTGCCAGACAGTGACACATACTAACTCATTTCATCTTCACAACAATTCTGTGAGGTAGGTACTAATACCAGCTCCATTTCACAGGATGAAGAAACTAAGGCACAGGTAGATTAGACCACCTTCCCAAGGTCACCAGTTTGGAAGGAGTAGAGCTAGTAGATGAACTCAAGCTCAAAAGATTACACCCTTAACCCCCAAACCGTACTATGGAATTCCACAGCCTTGTGAGAAATAGGAAAAATAAACCATCTGGAAAATCCTGTGCTCTTATTAAAGAATTCCATAAACATAGCATCTGGTTTTCTAACCCGCCTGTGAGCATGACTCTGTTGGATATATGTTCACTGGGGAGTTTAATGCTTCTCAGAATATAAAGTATTTTAGGATCAATGTAAAATCTGGAGTAAGTCAATTAAATTATAATTGTTTACCTGGATTTTTCATATTTGAGGTTGGAGTTATGCTTGTATGACCTCAGTTAATTAAAACATAACCTGTCATTAATTTTGAAAATTTACAAGGAATTGTTTATAGTACTTAAAAGTTACAAGCTAACAATGTGAACATTCAGAGGCTGGATATGAATTACTATCAATTTGTCTTAGCCTTGCAAATAAATTATAGACCATCAAGTTGAAAAGAAGCCTCACATGATCGACAATGCCTGTTGGTAATTGCAATTTCCTTCTCTGGCCTGGAAAGGATCTAGTGTTGCTCTGGCAATGAGGTTCTGAATCAGGAGAAGCTCTTTAGTTGGAATTGATTCTTAGTCTGCCTGCGTACCCACACGTCCGAAGACCCCTGGGAAACAGGATATGACGTTTGGCTTCCAGGTATTGGGTCTGAGCCTTTCTGAAACCCTACCACCTCCCTATATTGTCCTACAGAGAAAGGAGGGTCCAGATCAGGCCCCTTGGAAGTTCTGAGGAGCAGGCAGGCAGATATTTCCCCATAAAAGCATTCCAACTCCCTAAGCCAACTGGAGGAACCTCTCCTGAGAGATGGGGTAATTTAACATGTAGTTTCCCTTTTCAGCATTTATTATTGACTTGTATTTTTTTCTTGTTTCTTCCCCCTCTGACAGTGACTTTTCGTTCTATTTAAAAGTCTGATATTTCCCAAAAGCAACAAGCAACACGTTCCCCTCCCCACGTTTTTTTAAATTTGTGAGCACCTAAGTGACTACAGTCTCAAGGGACTATGGAAGGAGGCAACAGAGGGCCTTCTTTTTTCCAGCATCTTCTGCTCCAAGGAACATTCTTAAGAAAGCTAGATGGAGCAGCGAGGTGCCTTCTGGGGGCCTACAGTTTCTCCTCCATGCTAGCCATGCTGGATCTGGCAGGACACCTCTCGTCGATGCTGTCCTATCACTTTGCTTTCTGAAAGAACATCTGTGGAGAGTGGTTCCTGGTGTCCCTGAGTAACCCTTTTCTAACAATTCAGCCAGTGTATTTTCCCCAAGAGTAGAAAACACTGGTTTGGAAAATCTAGTGAATTTTCAGTTTCTTGTGACTGTCTTAACAGACAAACCTAATAAGCACCCAGTCTGTGAAACGGTGTCTCATTCAGAGTGGGCTGGGGCAAGGCTTCCACCCTCTTCGTTCCCTCAACATGGATTTTGATACTTCAGCTGCAGATCTATCCAAATATGCAAGGGAAATTATCCATTGACTTTCTTAAAATTTACATGTTTCATGAAAGTGGACGACAGCAGACATAGGAAAAAAGCTCTAGTTGATTGAAAGCTTATTATGGATATGCAAGGTATTTGGTTCCAAAGAATTACAGACTATACTCGTAGTAGTTTCTCAAATTTACCTTCCTTCTTTTGTTGGAAAATATAACAGAGAATACGATGGAAGAGGGTGAGGTGAGGTTATTTGTATGGGGAATGCTTAGGGTCAAACTGTCACCTCCTAACCACCCATGACCACTCCTTTTATGGAGGAATTACCTCCAAAGTAGTCAGAACCTGGGTGTAGGAGAAGAAAAGCAGACAAGAACACTAAACTAAGGCAGGCATCCAATGGTACTATAAACAGCTTTCTCCTCATACCTATTAAGAATTACGGTGATAGCTGTATTCTAATTGCTATGGGTCACAAGCAGGTCTTTGGTAGCCAACACACACACACACACACACACACACACACTCACTTCTAAAGATTACAGTATCAGAAGAGCTAAGATACCAACCTCAAAAGTGATGTACATCTGTATCATTTTTTTTTAAAGGCTGATACTAAGACTACAGATTTCCTCTCAGTCTCAGCTTGACCTTTGATTAGTGGAAAATAAAGCTTTCTGCATGTTCTACTATCATTTGCAGCCCTGAAAACTAGGAAGATGGCACAAATGGCACTTTGAGGGTCCTCCCACATCTTCGGGCCCAGGCTCACGAAGAATCTCCATATGGAACCCAGCAGCTGGGATCATCCTGAGAACATTTTCTCTGCTGCACACTGCCATTCACCTCAGTCTACAAATACCTTGTCCTGAGACTCATTCTGGAAGGGTCCTGACTTTGGCTTTAACTTTAGTTAAAGAAACAAAAATAACCCACAATGACTGTTACAGGAAACCATCAGGGCTATCCATGGAGTGGGGATACAGTGCTGTTCTCGTGTATTTAAGATGGTAATTGAGTGGGAATGTCAAACTTATGTGTTGAATTTTCAGTAAGTTGCATCACTTCAGCACAAATAAAAACCTAAAATGTCAGTAGTTGATGCCAAGTCGGTTCTACATGCAATGACTTTGGAGGAAAGAAAGAGCCGGATGTTTAACCATGACTTTCTGAATATATTACCAAAGATGATGTGCAAAATGTCTCTCTAACGCCCTTGCTCGTGGTTCACTTATTCAAGTCCTGCGCCTTGCTCAGATGGTGGCTCCTTCCTTGGAAAGCCCGTCCCCCACCTCCTCTGGTCTGGCTGTGGTCCTGTAAGGGGACCCTCACCTGAAGGCTTCACGCTAAAATACTGCCACACGCAGTAGGAGAAGGGCTGCTGGAGTCTGCTCTGCTGGAGACCAGAGTTTGCCCAGGAATCTGTCACAGTCTCCCCAAGAAACTCCAGGCACAAGAACCACATGTGAAAATCTGCCACGTGCGAACAGAAGTAGTGTGGTGACAATCTCTCCTTTGCAGAGAGAAAAGCTGACAGATGTTATTTCTCAGCTGTACTGCAGTGCGTATATTATGCAGCACACACACACACAAAAGCTGACATTTTTAGAAGGGCAGTGATCTTTTTTTAATCTTGTTCACGCATTTAGTCAACAAATATTATTGAGTAAATTGCGTTTGCACCAGGTTCCACGCTAGACTATGCAAATACAGAGATGAGTAAGACAAGATCCCCGACTGAGAAAACCATCCAGCCCAACGAGGGCGCAGACTACTACAAACAACTGTGGATCACTTGGCAAAGGCGCTGGCCCAGGGCAGTGGGATGGAGCACCACCTTCTTAGTGAGGCATGGGGCACCAGGGCGGGCTGGAGGGTGCAGGCAGGAAGGGGATGCTGGGAGCCTACGAGTAAAAGGGGGAAGCCAGACAGTGCTGCTCCAGCCGACAAACCGACAAACGGTGTCTAACACCAAGAGAAGGGCTAGGGTGGAGACAGGGCTGAGAGGAATGCAGGGTCAGAATGTTAAAGAGCTTCGTATTTATCCTGTGGGAGAACAGGAACCCCTCACCCTGCAGGACTTCCCCCTGACAAGCCAGCCTTATTTCATTTCTTAGAACTGCCACAGGACCTTCCTATATGCTTCCTCTCTGACTGGAAAGCTCTCCTCCCTCCACTCCAAGCCCTTACCTCACACATTCTTAGCCCAGTTTAGATACCACTTCATGTCTCATCGCGCTCCCTGAGAAGGCCTTCTCAGACCCCCAATTAAACCAGTGCAGAAAATCATTAAGTCCAGAAGCAGATGCCAGGAAGCATGGGAATTTAAAAAAAAGGAAGATACTTCAAATCAGAGGGAAAGAATATTGGGATAATTGACAATTCACTTAAAAGAAAATAAAGTTACACCCCTATTTTATGTGATACATAAACATAAATTCCAAGTATTTGGAAGATCTATAAAAGTATAAAATTAATAGAGGATATAAAAACATTTTCACAAACTGGGGATAGGAAGGCCTTTTTAAGCATTTCACGAATCCCAGAAACTGTAAAGGAAAACATTGATGGATCAGATTTCTCTGAAATTAAAGTTGTTACACTACAAAATATATCATACTAAGTAAAATTAAAAGCAAATGACAGAGTGGAAGAAAACTTTGTTTGAATATTTGACAATGCTGAATAAGTATAAAACATAAAGAACTCCTATAAATCAAAACAAATAACCCAAAAGAAAAAAATGGGGAAAAGGTATGAACAGATAGGTCACAGAAAAAAGAAATACAAATAGTGTCTAACTATAAAAATCACTAATGATTACATTACAATGGAATTCAAAGAGATTAAAGTAATTTTTAAAAAGGTAACTTTTTAAACTTTCAGAGTGCCAGGAAAAGCGGGGAGGCACAGATTAGACAGGATGCTGAGAGAATGGGGAAAGGGATGCTCACACACACTGCAGGTGGGAGTTGGGCTGTTAAAACCTTTGGGAGGTTGAAATGGAGACATCTGACAAAAATTCAGAATGAATGTAATCTATGACCCACTTTTAGATTTCTTGAAACTCTTCAAATCAGACAAGCCTAAATTGACTGGAAAAATATTAATGAATGTAAGAAAATCAAGGTAACAACAACAACAAAAATCTCCTTTTCAAGATAGTTTTTCTCCAAGGAACATAGTTCCAGAGCTTTCCTCCCCTGCCAACATTCCCTGGGAGAAGCCGTAACTTCAGTCCCAACCCAGGAAGGTGGCTGACCTGGTACCACTGTGCTCACTGTGGGGCACAAAAACATGCCGGGGGAAGTCGCTCTAGAAAGTACAATGTCGGGGCGCCTGGGTGGCTCAGTTGCTTAAGTGACTGCCTTCGGCTCAGGTCATGATCCTGGAGTCCCGGGATCGAGTCCCGCATTGGGCTCCCTGCTCAGCAGGGAGTCTGCTTCTCCCGCTCCCCCCTCTTGTGCTCTTTCTCTCTCTCACTCCCTCTCTCAAATAAATAAATAAAAATCTTTAAAAAAAGAAAGTACAATGTCATGTCACTACGACAGTGTCGGGTAGACCGTCCGGTAATGAGAGAAGCATATCAATGGCATCATATGGCTACGGTCAAACCTATAGGAGTTACTGTGGCTCAGTGTCTAGCCACTGAATGGCACCAGATCAGAGCTATGGCTCATGCAACTTCTGACCACATTATTGCTGTAGAGAAATAAGCAGCATCCGTATACCTTCTGGAACTAAAGAACCACAAAGAAAGTGAGAGCACAACCTACAAAGATACTGTTTAAATACAGCTTCCTTCAAACACCATGTCCACTACAGTCCTAAATTTCTCCAGTTTTTCCTGAGGATCATGGAGCATTAGACATTAACAATTACGCCCCAATACTAAGCTCTTAGAATTTCCCCCAAATTACTTATTCGACGATAAGGATTTCTTTTTCTTTGGTGGTATCTTTCTGTGAATGTGGAAACAAGCTGATGTACGGTTTGTCTGTCTCCCCAGTCAGTGGTATGAAAAGACTAAAGCTCTCTTCACAATCCCATTTAGATACTGAGGCTCTCGAGCCTTACATGCCCATGCTTTTTAAAGAGGAGGGTTCAACTGGCCAAAATAAGTAGGTTACTTTGAGACCAACTTTAAACATTTTTATGTGGTAAGAGTTCCAAGAAATGTTTATGCGAACATAAATGGAGTACTAGGTTCACTGGAATGAGTAACACATTGAATTGACACTCTTTATAAATAAGACCAAAATGCACGTGTGGGTAGGTGCCTATAACACATGGCACTTCTTGTCCAATATGTGAAATATAGACCGATGAAGAGAAAGGATCCACGCCTTTTTACAAAACATAACTGAAAACAAATTTAGCACTGCATGGCTGCACCTGTTGCAGGGCTTCTGCAGTAGGTGACAGCTCCTTGAAGCTACGGCAAAGGCTGGTTATAAACACCGCAGGCTTCGAGGGCTCTTGTGTGCCCCCCCTTCCTGCCCCAGTCCTTCCAAGAGACCTCTTCAGAGTATACCAGGGCAGTTCGAACAAGCTATTTCCTACATCATGTGGAACAAAGGTGGCCCGGGATAATACAGGCTTAGCTCGGCTCTGAGCGCAGGAAGGTGGGGGTGGAAGGCTATTCTGTTCAGAGCCTGCAGTTACGCTCTGCTTAAAGGTATAAATAATATCTGAAGAGGACCCACTGTCTTTTCATTTCCCGGCAAAGGAAACATCTGACCCTCTAGCTTAATTTGATCTGGTGATCTTCATTTTTTTAAAAAAGTGCCAAGCGTGTAATTCCACGGAGGCTAGCAACAGTCTTTTCTGAGAAGAGCTGCAGGTGGTTTTCCGAGACAAGAGCACCCAACACTGGGCTCATATAAATAACTTCCATTTGGGGAATCTCAGCTGTCATCCTTATCTGAGATGGATCTGGAAGGGTCTTTTCACAGCTAAGACTAGAGCGCTCTGAACTCATCTCCCAAACAAAGCACAGCTATCAATGGTGGTTGTCAGGTTGGCCCTTGATATGGCTCAGTGAACCAAAATAAATTAAACCACTTTTGAGGGAAAATACATAATGGGTTCAAACAACTGACCTGAAGATCTACTTTGGAATGATCCTTCAGTTAGCTGAGGAGTGCGTCTTTGGGTTAGATCAGGGCTTCTCAACTTTGACACCACTGACATTTCGTGCCCAATAATTCTTTGTAGGGGCCTATCCTGTGCATTACAGGACGCTTAGCAGCACTCCTTCCTTCTGCCCACCAGATGCCAGTAGCATCATCTTCCCCTTCCTTTCCCTCCTCCCCCAAGTTATGACAACTGAAAAATATCTCCAGACTTTGCCAAATGGCCTCTGGGTGGAAAACAGGCCCCCGCTGAGAACCACTGGGTTAGGCAAATGTAAAGTTTATCTTGTGCATCATATGCTGAGTAATTTGCACATCTGCTGCCTTCTCAGAGATAGAAGCGTTATTGGCTATCAATGGGCCCATTTGTACCCAAGAGTGATGTTGGGGCAAGGGGAAGCCTCTGATGGAGGAGGAGGGTTCCAAACCTGCTATCATAGCAGTCATGACATTGTTTTGAAATTTCCAATAACTTTTAAGGGACATACAATTTTTTTATATCAAATACGTTTTTAAGGCTGAGAAACTGAGCTAGAGAATAAGAAATCACCCAGAAAATTATTTCCTGTTTTTTCAAAAACACACTGGGTTATGCAACAGAGATGTAAGCACTTGGATTCTATGCCTGTGACAACACAGGGCAGTATTACCAATAACAGTGACAGCAGGTGCCCTTTATGGACAGCTTGATGTGCTCCAGGTAACTATCCAAAACATTTCATACACAATAGTTTGTTCAAGCCTCTCGGCCCCACCTGCTAGTAAAAAAGGATGGTCTCTATTTTACAGATACAAAAAACTGTGGCTCAGGGAAGTTGAGGCACTTGCTCAAAGAAAGCCTCTTTGTGATGCTTCTGAATTTCCCACCATATGTTCGTAATTGCATCAATCTTGTTTTAGGCCTTTGATAAGCTGATTTTTCATCTCAGATATTTAATCTACCAAAAGAAGAATTCAGCAATCACATTTCCAGAAGTTAATGCACTACTTCGTGCCAATCTTAGAGGCAAAGGATAATTTACCTTGAAGGTGGGGATGGATCTCCTTTTATCTACATGTAGTAAGTAGGGAGGTCAGACGCTTTGGTCTGCAAACTGGGCTGGCACAGCGTCTGGTCCCTTGCAGAAGTAGTTAATAAGCATTTCACAGTCTACTCAAAAAATTTGAAAAGTGAAGATAAAAACAATGGAGTGACGTGAAGTAAATGCAAAATTTATAACCATGAATTCCAGTTGTGACAACTGTGAACTCTGTGCAGTTCAGCTCAGTTTACTCTGTGCAGGTTTATTTTCAAAGCTTGTTCTATCGTTCTTAATTATTTTTGGTGAAAGAATGCGGCAAGGGTATGGAGAACAAGCCCACAGGAAAGTCTCAAACCTAACTTGAAGGAAGACTTTCTTTTTTTTTTTTTTTTAAAGATTTTATTTATTTATTTGACAGAGAGAGACATAGCGAGAGCAGAACACAAGCCGGGGGAGTGGGAGAGGGAGAAGCAGGCTTCCCGCAGAGCAGGGAGCCCGATGTGGGGCTCGATCCCAGGACCCTGGGATCATGACCTGAGCCGAAGGCAGACGCTTAACGACTGAGCCACCCAGGCGCTGGAAGGAAGACTTTCAAACATAATTGCTAACAAGCCAGACGTGTTTACTAAGGCCAATGCCAGCTGACTTTCTTGAAATGCTTGTTATTTGTCATCTGATAA